AGGATCTTTTAGCTCCTACTTGACCATAGATAGAAGGAGAATGAGAACTGGCCATGGCTCTGCTACATTGTATGATTTTTCATCATCTTTCAAGGTGATTTCCACTGGTTCTCCTTTCAGCGCTCCCACAATGTTCCCAGTTTCTCCATTATGTCTTATTAGGACCAGTTTAGTTGCCACTTATCAGCAGAGACAGTTAGTCTTTACCACTATGAGACAAAGCAACAGTTTGTTGTTGCTCATGGACAATGGCTTTGATATTGACTTTGGGTCTTGTCTAGTCTTGCAGTGTTTAATGGGTAGCTTCCTACGTCACTCTTGTGTTAGTGCTACAGTTCAAGTGGATCACTATGGCTCATCTGATAACAATGAATCTGTACCTGATTTATCTCTTCTAGAAAAGCAATTGGAGTGTGCAGTCCTCCACCAGGTAGCTCATTTTCTCTGACATATATTGACATCCACCTTTAGCTGATACCTGTATTCATGGAATCTTTAGAAAAAATCCTGATCTGCGGTCTGTTTCACGAAGCAGGTTTACGAACCAGTCATTCTCCTTTACGGAAATATGACTGGTTTGACCTGACCCTGCAGTAAAACAGTCTTTTAGTTTCAGATAAAGCTTTTTATTTTATCAGGTCAGATGCTAAATAAGCAGTTTGAGTTCAGTCTTGTCGTTGTTCGGTGATGACCACTCAGCTTTATCTGTAGCTTCTCCCCCTTCTTTCTCCTTATCACCACATTTATCTTCTTACCGTTTTCACTCTGAGGAGATGTCATCATGGGGACACTTCACTCTGAAGACAAACACAGAGACAGACTCTTTAGAGGAAATCAATTCGTTCCCCCTTTATTAGAAATTCCAAATGCTAAAAAAAAACAGGTATTACCAATAAAATTTGGGTTTTACACCATTTTTTTGATGGATATTTAACTATACAGTAACAAAAGTAAATTTGAAGAAATTGTAATATACATCTATCTTTATTGAGCAATTATGGGGTTGGAAATACAATAATAGAGTCCCTCCTTGATTCGCCACCTTAACATGGGATTTTAGTGCCTGGATAATCCCAGAGGGTATGTTGTCAGGGGCTTAAATGCCGATGGTTGCGACGTGTGATTTCACCTGATACTACAGAGCTGGGACCCCACCCTGCAGCCAGGCCTGGGGTTTGAGTTTGTTGGTGTGTGGCTGGTGGTCGGGTTCTTCCTCATAGGACCCGGCTGTGCCCGAGGACTGATGCGAAGCCATCCCACAAACTGATGAGCCGGCATGGTGGAAGAATAGACACCATGCCTGGGATTGCATTTGTTCATCAGCCAGGCTGAAGTAACCAAGGTGGTTAAAAAACCCTCATGGTGGCAAAGCTTCAGGGGTGGACAAGATCCACCCTGAGTACCCTAGAGCTCTGGATGTTGTGGAGCTGTTGTGGATGATATACCTCTTCAATATTGAGAGGAGTTTGGGGACAGTTCCCCTGGATTGGCAGACCTGGCTGGGGATTCCTCTGCATAAGAACGGGGGGCAGAGACTGTGTTCCAGCTATAGGGGGATTCCACTTTTAAGCCTACTTCGAGAGTACGGAGTCGGAGACCCTTTACTAGGGGCGATCCAATCTCCATACAAGCAGATTAGGAGTTTGGTCCACATTGCTGGCAATATGTCGGTCATGTTCTCGGTGCATATTGGACTACAACAGGGCTGCCCTCTGTCACTGGTTTTGTTTATAACCTTTATGGACAATATTTTTAGGCACAGCCAAGGGATTGAGAGGGTCTGGTTCTGGGGCCAGAATATTTTGTCTACCCTTTTGCGGATAATGTGGTCTGGCTCCCTTTTGCCAAGACCTACAGCAGGCATTGGGGCGATTTGCATCCATGTGAAGTGGCTGGTAAGAGAATCAGCTCCTTCAAGTCCAAGGTCAATGTTCTTGACTGGAAAAGGTGGCTTGTCCCATTCATGTTAGAGTAGAGTTCCTGCCTCCACTGGAGGAGGTCAAGTATCTTGGGGTTCTGTTAAATACTGAGAGGAGAATGGAGCAGGATATTAATAGACTAATTGGTGCGGCTGCCCCACCGTTCTATTGCGGTAAAGAGAGTGCTGATTAAAAGGCATGTGATCGATTTACCTGTCCTCTCAATATTCCCCTCACCTATGGTCATGAAATCTGGATCATGACCCAAAAAAGAGATTCTGGATACTCTTTAGAGATGAGGTGGGGAACTCAGTCATTCTGGAACCCTAGTCTCGGGAGTTGTTCCAGGCACGTCCAATGGGGAGGAGTCCTAGAGGACAACCCAGGACCGAATGGAGGAACTATGTCTCTCTGGTGGTCCGGGAGTGCCTCGGGCTTTTCCAAAAAGAGCTGGAGGAGGTGTCTGTGAAGAGGGAAGTCTGGGAGTCTCTGCTGAGACTGGTAACCCTGCCACCCTGTCCCAGATGAAGCGGGGGATGAGGTGTACGAGTACGATGAGAGCTACTGCTGTTGAACTATCAAATTAATTATCTATCTTGGTCACTGTTACCACTGACTCTGAAGCCAGTATTATGGCAGGATTCATAATGATAGTAATATTTTAATTAGATATGTAAACAATATCAATTGTTTTCAAAAAGTTATTCTTTTTGCGTATAGTATATATACCAAATAATGCAATATTACTTCAATTAATATGGGCATCTCGTTTTTTAAAAGTCAAACCGACTACTTAAAGATATAGTGGAGGATGTTTTTTTTCTGGGTGGATTATCATAATAAGTGGTTATGTTACGTAAGGCCATCCCATGCGCTCGTCTCCATTTTCACTTACTGGTGGAGAGTCTGGCTTAGTGGAAAAATTGCAAATCTTCTTTTGGAAAATAAACTTGTATGAGCGACGCAAACAGCATCTTTTAAACAGAGCGTGCCAGATGAATTAGCTCCTGCACGCTCTTGCACAGGTTTAATAGGCGTTCCCTGTCAGAAGGGGGTACAATGTTTGTGCATGTGCTTTTTTTTAAGTGGAGAGGGTGGGTCTTTTCAAAAATGTGCAATAGTCCTCCACTATACCATTAAAGCTTTTTACACTTGAGCCACATTCACCCAATAGACTTAGGCTTAGATAACATTATTGTCATTTTGTATACACAGAGTGTAGTTTATACAAAGAGGCAGTAGGGCAGCAATAACCTTCACTAACTCCTAATCATCATTATCACATTCATATACATTTAACACTAAACTTTTACACACTTATGAAACGTCATGGATCATCAGTCCTCTGATTTCTATTTCTGTCCTTCCTAGAGCTTGGAACCATTAGGCAAGGCAAGTTTATTTGTAAAGCAGATTTCATGTACAGAACAATTCAAAGTGCTTTACATAAAACATTATAAGCAAAAGGGAAAGAAAACTATTAAAAAAAATTTAAAGCGTGATTCAAAATTAAAAACATTTAAAATTAAAAAGAGAGAATACAGAGACGGACGAATTTTAAATTTTGAATAAAATCTAATATAATCTAATATCTGGCCCCATCCATCCTTTATACTTTTTCAAACAGTTTTAGCCTTTAAATTTCAGCCAGGAAATTATTTATCCTAATCTGCATTTTTTCAAAATTAATGTAACTTTTATGATCATGGCACTGATGGCTCGTCATCAATTCCCGCACCTGCTTAGCTCCGCCCAGTTCTCATAACCTGCGTA